CTCACGATGAAATATAATAGTATAACGTCCCTTCGACCACCACTAAACGTATGTACCACTTAACTAACGAACAAAAATATTGGGAATGAACGCTATTTCCAAAAGTAATTAGGGCGCGATTTTACCTGGAAGGATGGCTTAACACCCAGTGGTGTCTCCAAACTACCATAAAACCCAAACCTTTTCTTGTTATTTGAAGCTCAGGACAATATTTGCAATATGATTCATAAAATTTCGTCTTTCTAGATAAATGCCGATAGAATGACAATAATTTTTTTTTAAATTAGCACAAAAATTGGTAAAAATGCAAAATATGCACCCGTTCCGTGAAATATGCAGCAGAAGGCAAATATATGCAAATATGCAATTTTTTTATAGCTGTATTCATTTTTAATTAGCATGATTCGTTCACATTTTAAATATCAAGACTTATATGCAAAAAATAAGAGATATGCAAATTTCATAAAATCCGCTCTCTACTCAGGTACATTCAAGCAGTTGGGTGGCTTGACGAGTAGAGGAGCGGGAAAACACCCTGATATGGACTTGGGGAAGGTACAATGGGACCAAAGGCGAGGCCTAAGTGCCGGCTGGCTACGGTCAGCCCCCATAATTTAAAAATCCAGAATCCAACACTTACTGACAAACTGTTTAATTGACATTTGTAAAATTGTGCAGTTTTAAACATTTATTATACAATGTTTTTCTCTTTCGAAAATACAAAGTAAAAAATGTAATACACAAAGTGGCGACAGTTATTAATAGTCCAGGACGTTAATTATCCACAACTCTGCATCATGTAGCACCTTGCAAACAAGCAGCAAGTTTATTTCTTGAAAGATACTCCTAATAGAAAACAGCGCAACGTTTTCCTAAATTAACCGAATTGGTATCTCTTGTTGTTCACGAGATTCCACTAGTGGCGAACAAAAACGTCTTTCACTATACAGTAAATTCAAAGAGGTTTTCATTTTCTTTGCCTCCAAGATGTAGTATCTGTATATAATGGCGTCCCGACAAAATTAACATCTTTTATTACTACTTCTGTTGCGTAATTTTCGTTCTTTAGCGCCGATCCCAAATTTCGTAAGCGCCTGATGGACCCACAGTTACTTTTAAAAAATTCGACACAAAAAAGAAGCAGAAAAACAACTAATAGTGAATTTTTATCCAGACTCTGCAAAAATTACAAAACTGGCGCTAAAATTAACCAAGACAATATTTGAAGACAATGTAACAAGAAGAAATGTGTGTCAGCAAAGGAATATATTGAGATGTTTGTTCTTTGCCAACGGAGACGCGACTTTACTCCAACTACAAACGACTGTTTTTAAGGACAAATAGACATTTCTATAGAAATCCATGCACTAATGCGAATTTCAGAAGTTAACATAACACTGCCATTCCTCTCAGACATTAAATAAACAACTTCAAGAATTTATCAAAAATAGAAAAGTGGAATAGTGGATTTTCTTAAAAATCTAGCATCTAACAAAAATTTTATTACGCTGTACTTGATCAAATTTTAATCGAATAAGGAATTTTAAATTATATTAGAATATATATCAATATAAATTATTAGTGATTAAATTAAAATAGCTTAAGAATAAAGTGGTTTTAGCACACACTTCGCTTTGAGTGTGCGTTTCAAAAACAAAATATTCAAAATTCTAATTGTATAACAGGCACAAATAAATAATAACACAAAACAAGCACAAAATACCCTCCTTCTACCCTCATCTCTCAAGTCCACTTTTACTGTTCACAACTTTCGAAAGTTCTTTCTCTCGTAATGGATTAATGTTTAAATTCAATTTTAAATTCTACTATTGCAATATTTTAAACTCTCGAGTAAGAAGTTACAAAATGTAAATGTCAACTTGAAGAAAAGCACCAAAATACTTCAGTACTAAAGGAAGTTAAACCCGAATAAGTGAATTTCCCTGAGCAGCTCTGAGACAACGATTTCATGCGAGTTCAGCTGCAACTTGTTTTAGGGAAAAAAACTGTGTTAAAAACAGTGAACAGTTAAAAATTCTCACGTAAAGAGCTGCTAGGCAAATTTAAATAAAATTTCATGCGTTATAAAATACAAATTCTTCTACTACCACAGAAGAAAATAAAAATACATTATTTTTAGAGGTTGCGTAATGAAATAAAGCGACAATTCTATACTAACAACTACAACCCAAATGCATGAACAGATGCATTTTGATATAATTTATTACGTTTTGACATAAAATTATTACGTTGGACGGGTATTTAAAATCAGCGTGGGTAAAATTCAACAATTTATTTCTTAGTAACTCAAATTTACACAACTAATTACACAGCGATTAAGTACAAAATAATTCCGGCGCAACTTGACTGGACTCTATCTTGACTGGACCAACTGCATAATCCCGTTCCCGAAGGTGGTCTCTATTTAAATTAAAATTTATAGTTCCGTGATCGAGGTCTTTCTGGAATACCCATGGCGACTTCCGCTTCCAGGCTTCAGGGAACACCGCTCGGCAGCCGTTACCGACGATGAACCACCCATCATCGCCGCACCCATAGGCGTCGTAGCGGGGCGGCGTATAAGTTTATTTCGTAACAATATCTTGACTAGAGAAGTTCTCATATCTAATACTCTTAAACAGATGAACTAGTTTGAATTATTAAAAGTTGGAAATCTTTAATTTCCGCATTTTTGAATATGACAAATTTAATAAATAAAGAATTCGTAAATTACTTTAAAGAATTCGTAAATTACTTTAAAGAATTCGTAAATTACTTTATTTATAATATGTATATGTAATTACATAGTTTGCACAAATCCATTAAATGGAGATCCGCTAATAAAAACAGCCTACAAATTTTTACCAATATTTATAGAGATAGATTTTTCAAGATATCAGATCAGAATGGGGAGGCTAGCGTTTGCTTACTCCAACAATAAACAGTCTTAAATCGATTAAAATGAAAGGATAACACACTTTTAATATTGGAGCTAACTGGAGCTAGATTAAATGATTATTAATGTTTCATATATTTGTAAACAATCTAACTAACTCTAGCTTTTCAGAGACGTTTAATTGCGGTATGGAATTAATTAATTAATTACGTTAACTCATCCCTTCAAGGAAACTAGAGGCATTTGTTAATATGTTTAGATGGAATTAGATCTGACGAACATGGACCTAAGGAGTATATTTTCTGGGTGGTCTATTAAAAAAATGATGATCTCAAAAAATTGATCGAAGATCATTTCGAATAAATCCCGCTTCTTTAAAAAATTATGAAATTTGATTTCGCGATTTTCGTTTTTTAATAAAGTAAAAACTAGCGGTATAAATAACACCCCCGTAGTCCCTGCACCAAAAATTTGCGCTGCCAAGTACGGATAATGTAAAATATATTTAAAGCAGATAACAAACGGGATAAAAAGTCCTCACAGCACTAATAACACGCTTAACTTAAAGTGTTTATGTTTATACATTGAAAAAATGTCACGTAGAAATTAGTGTACTTTGAATGAGTTTGTCTGCTCAAAACGGAGGATTAAAATTAAGCCACAATGCAACATTATGAAATAAGGACTGCGTATTCTCAACTTTTCGACAAAATCGGGTGACTCGCTCTTAATTTGATAAAAAAAAGTGATAACTTCATCAACATAGATAATACTTACTAGCCATAGCACAAAAAAAGAAACACCCAAGTTTGGGGTCGAATGTGCGACTGCACGTCGGTGTTCTCCCAAATGACCAACATCTCCACCAAGCGTTATATCCCATGTTAGCAGTAAAATGTTATTATACGAAAGTTTTGACGTTTAGGGAAAAACTAAAAACAGATTCATACACCACAAATATAGGAGTATATTTTTGAATAACATTTAAATAATTTTAAAATAGAATTATTTGAGATGACCTCATCAAATTGTTGGTGGGGATAATTAGCCGAATTTTAGTTAGCGTTTAACCATCTACATGATATTTCTAATATACATACAAAATTTGACAACAATCGGTTCAGGAGTTTCGGAGATTACGTGTCAAATAATAATCGACAGAGACGCTGAACAGACAGACAGACAAACGGAAACGGAAGATCACTTTTATCGTACTCTAGGGGTCATGAAAGTGGTAAGTCGCCCGATGCATTCGATTACTATATGTATTTCCTTACCTTACGCTAATCACGTCACATGACACACTGACTCACAGTTTTATTTTGCGTTAAAATTTACTTATCTGATTTTTTCAACCTTCCCATAAACAAAAAGACAAATTTTAAATTTTAAATTTTAGAAAAATGTTTCTGAAAATTACAATACATAGTACTTTTTGTTCAATCAAAATACTTGGGTTGTTGTAGCTACTATTTTAAAAATAAATGTTACCATGATTCAGTTATCCCTTAGAACTATCACCTGTCTTCATCATACGTTATAATAATAAATAAAAAATATCTTGTGCACGAATTTCGAATAAATCGTAGTACGAAACAAGAAAAGCATGCCCTCTCATCTTTATATAATCCCACATATATTGTGAAATTGGCTTCAGACCAACAGCCTTCGAAGTAAACTCTCCTCTCCAGGGGTAACTGGTCCGCTCGTAAATTACATCTATCGATTCAGAATGAGAAATGTCCCGAATGTGGATTCTGAACAAATCCGCACATGATATTTCCCACCTTAGATTTATCCCTGATCTTCTCGAGCCAAACACGCTGGCTTTCAATCTTCCATTGTCTGTCTGCGTAACAGAGTAAAGGCCTCTCATGTGCGCGGTTTGCCTAAAACAATGGAAATTACTCTCCGTTAAACTACCTGGGACACTAAATAACACGTCTGTATTGTTGGTGTTCCTGGTCCACTAACTAGTTTAAAACCTTCTTTTTATTTTTGAGTTTTATGTCTCTGCAGTCGCAGATGGCAACGTAATCACATGCCTGCACACATGCACATAAAAAAAGACATAAATTAACTAAATTTTTTGAACTGCTTTCAGAAGCAAAAGCTCGGATTCTGGAAGCGAGTGACCTGCACGTAAAAGCGGGAAGCTCGGTGACACTCACCTGCGTCATTAATCAAGGACCACATGATTTGGGGACAGTTTTCTGGTACAAAGGCACCGAAATCGTCCAGACAACACAACCCCACGTTAACGACGCCGACACTGTCACCAGGGTCACAGTACAGGTGAGTTACATAAATCCTACGAACCACTCCAGATACTTACAATGATATCGAGGTTAGCATCATCAGCTCAATTATGTTACGCCACTGCCCCTATAATCACAGAATTTAAATTCATCTCACGCAAACCAATAGTCCTACAAGCTACGACATGTGTTACAGAACCAATGGACGGATGGTTTAACGTCACGATTGCACATCACAAGTGCACATCTCTCTGATTCGGGGAACTACTCATGCGTTCCCACAATCGCAGCCCCTACAAGTGTTAACGTACACGTCATTAATGGTAAGCATGCATAAAAAGCTTTTAAAGTGTTTTACAAATGGGACAGTAATTTCAAAGCTTGCGTAACTCAAAAGCCGATGAAACTGCGAATACGTTTAAAATTTATTCGGCATTTTTAAGCATATAGACAAATATTTTAAGTAATATTTAACATTGTAAAATATCTTCTTTGTTTATTATCGAAACCAGAGTAAGAAAACGGATAACGCTATTGATTTTCTGCCAGTTTTCAAAATCTGAAGAAATATTGGACTTTTTACTTAGGTAAAGTAAAAAAATATTGATGTATATTATATTCACGACTTTTTTAGACCTTAGTAGGTCATTTTTTTCCTTTTGATGGCCACCATGACTGACATGTATCTTTCATGCTAATTTACTACTTTTCAGGTACATTAAGTTTGTGGGTGATTATAAACACAGAGAAAGATGAGACACTTTTTCAAAATTAGGTGATTAATCAACTTATTCCTGCTCTGAACAAGTTACAACGAAAATCTGCAGTGGTAATGGACAATGCAAGACTGGTTGAGTCACCACAGTATTGAATTTAATCAACAGTTTTCATTGAACCTTTTATAACTGATCGGAAGAAACGATTTTTGACAGACGAAACATTACGGGAAAGTGATCATAAGATTTCTAGATCCTACCATAACTGTTCGGCCTTCATCCAAGAATAAGCTGGAGAATTTATAGTTAGGCAAAATTAAATTATTAGTAGTGAGTGAAAATAACTAAAACTTTTAATACTTAAAAACGTGTCTTGTCAGCGGATAATCGTAATTTCAAATTAATAAAAAATGCGTCTTGTGAAAATACACTAGAAAATTTTAGAACAATTTGCCAATTCCTGCAAATTTTAATCAACAAGAATTGCCAAATTTTAATTGTGTTCCTTTCTTGGGATAATCAACAGAATTTTTAAGTTACTAGATTTCCATGAGTTGCTGCGGTCTAAAAATGTTGTGAATGCATTACACATAAACTATACAAAAATTTATATGTAGCGAAAAGTTAAAAAATGTCATATAAATATATATAAAATATTGGACATTTAAAGCACACAATATAATATGCCTCAGTGTCCTAAATGTACTGAGAGTGTTTACTGGCCTGTGCATTTCTTAGAAATGCATGGAATTTTTTGTCCGGAATGGCGACAATTCCAGAGGACTGTAACAAGAGGGAGTGTGACAGCGAGAATGGCGGTTAACAGTTTTACGAGTATCTTTATCTCCAAATTGGCCCTAGTCTGATAAAGTGATGACTAATCTTGGCATATTGTGGCTTTTTGTATTGTGCACTGGCTTTACATAAAAATATTTAATTATATATAAAAAGTCTAGTTATATCGGTATTACGTTATTATTAGTAATGGAAAGTAATCTACTGTATTCACTGTATACTTAGAAATAAAACAAAAGAAACTAAAATAATTTGAATCATGAAATCTTTAATGTAATATTTTTATCTTAAATTGTTGTTAGCCAAAATTTGAAAACACCGTCAAATCTTCACATTATGCTCCTCAGCTCCCAGAACTTGCTCACTAAACGTAAACACTATTTTTACTCTCTTTCTAGTTTGTTCCAGGTGTTTCACTGAAATTAAGTTTAAAATTCACGTACCTAAGCATCTGTCCATTAATTAGGTTATTATTACGTTCTTTACATATTCTAAGTAGAACAATTCTTGCAACATAAGTTTTATTATTAAATTGCATAGGTATATTGTGCTGATTACAGCATTCACTTGGCCTTTCGTAGTTTTATAAGTTCCCATGTTCTTTCATTTAAGACAGCCAGCAATGAAACTCTCCTACAACTATATTTAAAGGTCTCTTGTTATAGTAAAATATTTTGCACAGCAACCATGCGTTTGTATACAGACTGATGAAAAAATGACGTATAAGCTAGATGCTACGTTGTTACGAAGACGCTGAAGAACTCGAAAGAATGGTTAAAAAAACACAATTTTTGAAAACATGAAACTTCATAGTTGAAGAATTAACTTCGTAATTCTGATATGTTTTAATGTGAATTTAATTAACAGCCTAAAATTCCGAAAAAATTGTCAAAAATGACATCTGTCAACAGTAAAAAATGACGTTGTGGATCGTTTTCTACAAATTATTATTAGTAACTAATTATTTAGCTGTCTATTAGACATTCAGTTCATTAAAAGAAATCAGAATTACGAAATTAATTCTTCAACTTTGATGTATAATATATTTTCAAAAGTTTGGTGTACGGATTTATTTAACCATTTTCTCATCAACCTGAGTTATTAGTATAGCGGTCTTGCATATATATTTTTGAAAGGTCTTTCGTTCCAAATTTTTACAGATATAACCTTTTAAGGTACAGATTTTAATCACACATACACCTCTATATACAGGAGGACATCTAGTGTTCAATTTAAAGATAATTAATATACTGCACGATAATTTAACAATACATGTAATTTTGAACAATCTTATACACTTTCATTACTCTAAACTACTCTTCGATAGCGATAAAAATTATAAAAAATAAAAAGTAAACAAGGAATAGCCCTAACTTTTAGTTTATATCGTTTAACGCAAGGCAGTTTCAAATCTAAAATTGTTTCAGCTTTTCTTTAATTGTGAAACCTCAATTTGTCAGTAGAAATATCCAAATCTGATTAGTGATTAGCCTACACCAAATTTTCGATCACAAATTTCATATGACTCCCAAAAATTACAAACCAAAAATTATATTTAACATTTTTGGTTTAAAACAGTTTTCATAATTAAGTCAAATTTTCACTGTGTTACAGTTAAACTAAAAATTTCAAATTAAGAAAATATTATGATACTATTCTATTAAATAAATGACAACATATACGTACTCAAACACAAAATGAAGTCCAACAGAAGTATTTTTTATTATTTTAATTATCTTTGTACAAAACGATTTTACATTAATGGGTTACCTAACTTACATTACCATAATATTCAGAAAATGTATACTTTTCAACTTATTTTGTGTTCCACTGTTGGTAAATGGTATTAGTTTCAAAGCAAAATCTTTAAAAACTTAAACCAAAATCAGACTAGTAAGAAAATTTAGTTGATTTGTCTGATTTATATTTATACAAAAACAAAAATAACATGAACTACAAAACATGTCATCGAAGTTTAAGAGACAGTCAACTAAAAAAAAAAATGGTATAAAATAAATGTAACCCTCGAATTACATCGAAGGCAAAATTCTTCATCAAGTAAGTAAGTATTATTAGGAAAATTAAATAAATCTGTTTTAAGATACCGTCCTCTGATTTACGCTTCGTTACCACTTCGTGACAACACCCACTGCAAATTATACTGAAAGAGACTTCAACAACAAAACTAACATCTTACTGATAAAGACACCAGTAAAACTCATTTCCGTGACATTTCCATTGTTAACACAAAAAAAATGGTTACAATTTTTTGAATCGCCGCTGAAACTCAATCAAGTAAGTCCATTGTCTTAGATAAATTATAAAAGATGATTCCGCAAATTTTATTTTTATAATACCCGTATACATTAAGTAAAAAGAATTAATTGTTAAATTGTGTATCATTTCTCCAATGGTTTGTTCACATTAATCACTGATCAGCATAGCTTAACATCATAAAACTAACAAAAATTTTGCCATAACAGTCACAACACTGTTATAGTTCAAGAATTCAGAAAAATTAACACGTTAAATTTGTTATGTTATTCTAAAAAAGTTTTAAAAATCTTACGGCAAATAAATTATTTTGAAATCGATATCGGCGGTAACTTCATACATTACACAGTGCATTATGTGAAAAATTTACAACTTTCACGCACAAAATTCCCTTGCTCCGGTGATGTAAATAATTATGTTTGAGAACGAAATTTTTACGGCGTAGGTATTTCATTTTATTTCATACAACATATGCGCAAGTCCCCTAATTAATGTCGATATAAGCCTGTAGGACCCACAATTTTCAGGTTGCGCGTCCCTCGATTTACTTGTATTTTGTCCCTAAATTGGCAAATTTATTGGACCATAACCTTAAGTTTTCCCATTTACAACGTTTTGTAACTGAGAGCCGAAATGCGATAAGGAAAAAATTCGACAGAAAATTCTGATATACAAACCTTACATTCGTAATACTACTACATTTTAAAAATTAAATTTGGGATTCTTAAAATACAATAGAATTACCTTGTGTTAAGAATGTTTCAAAATAAGGCTTTTATTTAAGTGTTACTACTTACCATTTGTGTTATAACTGACTTCCCAACATTTTGATAAAATCTTGCACAAAATAAAAAGAACCGCGCATTTTAGTATTTTAATTCGACATACTGATCCACTTATTCGTTTGAAGCACCGTGTACCTCCAATATACGTTTTAAGTTCTTATTAAACTTGCATAACAATGTATTATTAAAATTCTTAAGAATACACTGACAAGAAACCAATTTTCTACAAAATATTTACTTAACGAACAAATTGTGCATTCTATGATGCATAGTTAACACAATTTTCTTTGCAATTAATGTGTATTAAACATCAAATTTTAAACGAAATGAGATTCTTTCACATGCTGTAGACGAACGCAACGAACGGAATAAGAACGAATGAGTTTTCAAACCCCTTGATTTACTTTAGTAGCTGACAAGAATGTATTACTCAAAATAAAATGTTAAAAATCTCGACCGGAAATAAGAGAATGAATGATATGGCACTAATACCGTGTACCTATCCAACATGCAATGTAAAAAGGTAAAAAAGAAAAATGTCCACTCTTTCTGTGTCGTGCCTGCTTGCTACAGTATCGATAAAATATATGTCGTAACGTGAGAGAGTTAAACATTTTGCACTGCAGATTTATGCATGTTACACATATTTTTGAATGCAATGCCTTTAAAACGTCATCTTCATGGGGGAATTTTAAAATAGTTATGTGTGTATCTAGAGCGAAAAATAAATATTTGGCGAAAATTTAAGACCGA